AGGAGTGAAATTGCTGCTTTGGAAGTATTGAAATAAATCAACTATATTTGTGACTCCGAAAAGAAAAAAGAAAAAAACAGGTTCGAGGTAAGGTCAAGACGATGGATGTGTGCTGAAGCGGCAGCGTTTCTCCTGTCAACTACATTAATTATGTTAACTTTATCATAACGTCCCTGGCATGCCAGTACTGTCCTGATACAAAAGCCAGATAAAGACATTACACGGGGGGAAAAGTACGGACCACTGTCTTTAATCTTTTATGATTATTGATGCAAGGATCCTCCACAAATAATAGCGAACCAAATTCAACAGCATATTAAAAGGTTCATATAGTTTGCAAAAATAGTCCCACATATGCAAATGATCAGTGCAATAGGCCACATTAACAGAATGGTATAAACAGTAGCACATGACTACATCAGTGGAGAAAGAAGAAGCATCTGACAAAATTCAGGATCCTTTCATGATAAAAACATCCAGAAAACTAGAAAGAGAAGGAAAGTACCTCAATATAATACTACATATTTAAAAAATGCAGTCAACGTTATACCCAACAAAAAATAGATAAGTCGGACTTCATCAAAATTAAAAACTTTTGTTCATAAAAGGAGACTATCAACAGAACTAAAAGACAATGGAGAAATATTTGCAAATCACGTATCTAATAAGGGATTGCTATCCAGAATATATAATGAACTCAAACGGGGCAAGATACTTGAACTAGACACTTCTGCAAAGAAGATATACAAATGGCCAATGACCACATGGAAAAAAAATGCTCAACATCACTAGTCATTAGGGAACTGCATATCAGACCGTCCGTGAGAAACAACTTTGTACCCATTAGGATGGCTGTTGTCAAAAACAACGACAAAAAGAAACGATAAGAAGTTTGACAAAGATGTGGAGCAATGAGAACCCTTGGGCATTGCTGGTGGGGATGTCAACTATTGCAGCCACTGTGGCGAACAGTATGGTGGTTCCTCCAAAAATTAATCTTAGAATTCCCATATGGGACTATGATCCAGCAATTCCACTTCTTGATATATATCCTAGAAAAAGTGAAAGCAAGAACTCAAATAGCCGATTGTATAGCCATGTACACAGCTACATTATTCACAATAGCCAAAATGCAAATGCAATCTGTGTCCATTGACAGATGACTGGATAAACACAATGTAGTTTATATGGACAACGAAATATTATTTAGCCTTATAAAGAAATGTTGGCACATGGCTACGACCTGGGTGAAATTTGAAGACATTTCGTTAAGTGAAATAAGCCAGTCACAAAAGAACAGGTACCAAATGATTCTACTTATGTTAGGTACCTACCGTAGTTAGATTCAGAGAGGTAAAGTAGAATGGTGGTGGCTAGGGGCTGCGGGGAGGAGGAAATGGGGAAATAGTGTTTAACCGGTACAAAGTTTCAGCTGAGGAAGTTCGAAAAGTTTTGAAGAGGGATGGCGGTAATGATTGCACAGCAATGCGAATGCACTTAAAACCACAGAACTATACACTTAAAAATGGTCGAAATGTTAAATTGTATGCTGTGGCTATTTTATCACATGCACGCGCACCACACACACACACACACACACACACACACACACACATACATACAAAACATCGCTGAAGCTCAAATGCTTACTAGGATTCAGCCATTTTCTTCAAAAAACTCTTCCTCAGATTGTTCCAGGATCTCGGTAAATGTCTAGGGCTGTGAAAAAGTTGGTTTCCAGCGTCCTCAGAGGGTCGGATTTCCAGATGGACTCACTCGGCAATTCTAGAGTCGCTTTTTCCGCTTTCATTTTGTCTCTTTTCTTGCCATTTCAATTGCTGGATTACATTTATTATCATTTATTTGTTTTCTCATAAGTTTCCTCTCTTTACTGAAAAATCACATAACCCACTTCTTATCTTTATTGGTAACCCTTGATTTCTCATTCTCACTTAAAATTTAGAGTTACTCCCTTCGCCCATATCCCAAGTAGCACAAGAAGACCAATTCTCGTCATCCCAATCCCAAATTTTGCTTCTTTGTGGTTCAGTATTTAAATTTTGTCCTTATGTTTAACCCAATAAATTAGATGTTGTCATTCTTATTTTGGTACAAACAACGTGTGTACATGCGTGGTTACCAGCTTATTTGCTCACATTCTTTCTAGTATGGTGGAACAACCTGCTGGGGTTCATATTCCTTATTTTTGAAGCACATCATTTAAAAGGTCTATTTAGTGAATGTCTATTCTGGAAAACTCTATCAGATGTTTACTTATCTGAAAATGTCTTTATTTTACCCTTGATCTTGAAACATAGCTTTGGTGAATAACAAATTCTAGGTCTATCGTTGTTTTCTCTGAGGCCTTATATTTTGCTGTCAGGAAGATATTTTGCTGTAATTATCTGGTTTACATTATCAGTTTAATTGCCATTACTTTGCATGTGATTTGACCTTTTTTTTTTT